CACGTCTGTGCATATTACGTAATAATAAGAAAAGTAGACCTAATAAGTAAATGAATAGCATGAGAAATGTTTAAGATACAACATTGACTGAAAATTATCAGGACAATAATAGTATGTATAACAAGACCTCAACTGTAGAATGTATAAACTATATGAAAAGATGAAAAAAACATGCTGAAATGTAATAGACATGATAAAGTTTTACTTGGTGAGATTATGAATGCTTACTGTTTCGTCATAATTTTCTTTGTTTTCTAAAATTTCTATGAAATACAATACACATATATGTATACATATTTACATATGTATGATGTGATATATAACATTTACATCTAGTATAAATCTTGGGCTTTGCCTTCTCCCTACCAGTGGAGATGTCTGCCTTTCAGTCCTGTCTTACCTCTCCACATGTGATCACCTTCCCTGAAGTGACGTCTAATGAGCTTGGGGCTGCTTTGAACTCCTCTATATCACTCAAAGGTGATATAGCTGAGATGATGTTAAACATTTACTGTGAATTTACTGTGTGTCAGCAATCTGTGTCAACAGGTCCTAGGCATGCAAAGATTATAATTACAGCAGTTAGCTGTAGTAATAACAACATTTATTGAGAACTTACAACATGCCAGCCACTGTTCAAAGTAACTTACCTGTATCAACTAATTTCATTTTTCCAGTATATCTATGAGAGAGTTATTGTCATCCCATCTGACATATGAGTAAACTGAGGTTAGGCAACTTAACATAGCTAGTGTGTGGCAGGGCCATGACTTGACTCAGGTAAGCTGGCTTCAGCTTTTGCTCTTGGAGCTTAGAGTCCAATGGGTGACAAAAATTGGAAATTCATGAAGCTGGTGCAGTTAAGTTAGTGGCAGGTGAAAGGTAAATGGAGAACTCTGAGACACTGAGAAGGCCACCTAACCCAGCTGTTCATGGTAATCTGGGCATACTTCTTGGAAGAAGATGATAGAGCCAAGAAACATTGAATTGGAAAGATTGATAACTATGCAACTAACTTGCTCTGTGTTAATCAGCTTAGGAGAGGCAGAGCTGGACTGGAATCCACATGTCCTTTATGGAGAGTGAACTCATGGATCAATCCATAGGTTTCTACTGAGTAAGTTCTATGTGTTGAGCTCTGATGGAGGCATACATAGAGGTTTTTAAAAATCAGCATGCAAATTGTATGGTATGATATGTGAATTGCATCTCAATAAAACTTTTTTTTTTAAAGCCAGCATATACCTAGCAGTCAGAAGTTGTTTCTAAATATCATTATTTTGATAAAAGGAACAAAGATTCCTTGGAGAAATGGAAAAATTTAGGGCTGGGGCAGAGACAGTAGAAGATGAGCCTGGAGAATCTTCTAGTGCCAGAAATGAAGAAAATGCTCAAGAAACAAAAGGATAGAAGAATGTCAAAAGGACACAGACCTTTCCAATGGCCACAGGTGGAAAAATTCAAGCAAAAAAATTAATAATGTAGTATTGGATTTTAATTCAAAGTATAAAGTAAATATATATAAGCCTATACTGACAAATAAAAGATTGAATAAATCAATAACAGGAAGAAAGAGGCAAATCTGCCTTCAAAAAAAGTTTTTAAAATTTATGTAGATACTCTCCCACTAGGAAGTAGAATTACTTCCCATTATTTCCTCTTGAGGATGGACTGAACATAGTGAGTGTCTTCCAAAGAATCAAAATTGGGAAGGGGAAAATGCTAATTTTATAGTGGAGCAATCTGGCAGGTACCACCTTAACCAAAGAATCAAGTTAACATTACCAATCAAGTGATAAGTCTGGTGGATATCATGATGTGATGAGAATGACACTTCACCTCTGTTGTGTTCTCCCCTCAAACCCCCAAACCCAGTGTAAAAATGAACAAAAAAATAACCACACAGGTACAAATTGAAGGACATTCTCCAAAATACCTGAGAAGTATTTTTCAAAGCTGTCATGAAAAAGAAGGGAAGACTGAGAAACTGTCACAGACCTGAGGAAACCAAGGAAACTTGATGACATTAGTCAACCAACTTTTAAAATCCGAACAAAGTCTGAAGTTTCATTAGTGGTGATGTACCAGTGTCAGTCTCCTGTTTCTGATAAATGTATGATGCTAACATTAGTGAACACTAGTTGAGAGGTATATGAACATTTTTTGTACTATATCTGCAACTTCTCTGTAAATCTAATATTATTTTAAAATAAAAAGTGTATTTAAAGCATAATAAAAGAAAAGTCCAGTATTGGGCAGGATGTGAGCAAGTAGAACTCTCATACATTGCTCGTGAAAATGTGAATTGGTACAACCACTTTGTAAAACATACACCCACCATATAGCTCAGCCATTCCACTCCTAGGCATTTACCCAAGAGAAAAGAAAACATATACACAAAAAGACCTGTACAAGAATGTTCATAGCACCTTATTTACAGTAGATCAAAACTGAAAATAGTCACGAACAGGGGAATGGATATACAAACTATAGTATATCCCTACATTGGAATACTACTCGTCAATAAAGGAAGCAAACTGCGACATAGACAAAGCTCAAGAACATGTTGAACAAAAGAAACCATGTAAACGTGGACTCAGAGATACTGCTTGATTCCATTTTTAAAAAAATTAGGGCAGGCAAAACCAATCTATACTTACAGAAAACTGATCAGTGGTTGTCTGCAGCCAGAAATGGGGCAGAGATTGACTTGAAAAAGAAAAGAGAGAACTTTCTGGGATGATGGGAATGTTGTATGTCTTGACTGTAGTGATGATTACAAAGATGCATACATGAGTCAAAACTCCTCAAATTGTGCTTTTAAAATGGTTTCATTATATGTAAATTATACCTCAATAAACTTAAGAAGTGTAATGGTTAATTTTATGTGTCAACTTGGCTAAACCACAAAACCTAGATATTTCATCAAATGCTATTTTAGATTATATATATAATCAAATATATGTATTTACATTCAATATTATTTTGTATTAGTTTCAGGTGTACAGCATAGTGGTTAGACAATCATATACTTTACAAAGTGTTCCCTCGATATTTCCAGTACCCAACTGGCACCATGTATATTTATTACAATATTATTGACTATGTTTCCTATGTTGTACTTTACATCCTTGTGACTATTCTGTAACTACCAATCTGTACTTCTCAATCCCTTCACCTTTTGAACCTATTCCCCGACTGCCCACCCCTCTGGCAATTCTCAGCCTCTTCTCTGTTTTTGTTTTGTTTGTTTATATTGTTCTTTAGACTCCACAGTAAGTGAAATCATATGGTATTTGTCTTTCTCTGTATGACTTATTTCACTCAGCACAATACCTCCTAGGTCCATCTATGTTGTCACAAATGTTAAGATTTCATTCTTTTTTATGATTGAGTAATATTTCATTGTATATATGTACCATAGCTTTTTTATACACTCATCTATTGATGGGCCCATAGGTTGTGTGAAGGTATTTGTTAGATGAGATTAAGATTTAAATCAGTAGGCTTTGATCAAAGCAGATTATACTCCATAATGTCAGTGGGCCTCACCCAAGGGAATTCTGGTTGCAAACTGCCTTTGGACTTAAATGGCAACTCTTCCCTGGGTCTCCAGGCTGCCAGCCTACCCTACAGATTTTAGACTTGCCAAGTCTCCACAATTGCCTGAAACAATTCCTTAAAATTAATCTCCTTCTTCCCCCCTCCCACACACATATCTTATTGGTTCTGTTTTTCTTAGGAACCCTGACTAATACAATAAAAAATGTAAGCCTGTATAGTAACTCTTCCCTGAGAACCTTATGTTCTTGGAGAGAGAAGACTAACATGACCACAGAATTAATACAAGAATGAACATGATTAAGAAGTACAAATTTCCAGTTATAAAAATATTCATTGGGATATAAAGTATAGCATAAGGAATATAGTCAATAATATTGCGCCAGATGGGTACTAGACTTATCAGGGTAGTCACTTCGTAAGGTATATAAATGTCTAATCACTAGGTTTGTACACCTGAAACTAATATAACATCATATGTCAACTTTAATTGAAAATAAATTTTAAAAATAAATAAATCTTCAAGAAAAAGAAACAAACATGAAATTCCTTGTTTTGCAACTCCAGTTTCTCTGCCTACAAAAATCAACATGAGATGAATCTTCACTGAATAACTGAGAGTTGTGAGATTCCAGTTAACTGTGGACCTTGAGTCACTCTCTCTGATTCAATTGAAAGATGACTTTTGACTCAGGTTTTCAAATGGACCCGAAGTTATTTTTGTACATGCCCCTATATTTTGTGCATCAGTGAGTTAAGCTCCCTAGAGATGACTTATAGGCTATCTTATTATTTATCCTTGGAGATATGTATTCCCTTTATCTCTGTGTTGAGGTGTCCCTACCTTGTTGGGAGAACCAGGTAGTATAAACTAGTCTCAAGGAGAGGTGGGAAGTTGTCTCTTTCTGCTTTGAACTTGCTGATCTCTGGGACCTTTTGAATTGAGCTAGCACATCTTATTCTTTGGGAAAGCTTTCTGGGCCCTATATTGTGATTACTCCTACAGATAGTTGCTTTTTTGTGATTGGCTTTTCATCCCCTTTTTACCTTGTAGAATGTTTATAGTTGTAATTTTCTGATCCTCTAAGCACATAAATATTCTGACTCAGATATTTGCAATTATCATTGACAAATGAGATTACATTAGATAACCTCACTTCTGTACTGGCATTTAAAGTTTACATGGTAAGGGTTCCAATTTCAGAAATAAATTTTCATTATGTTTATTGTGGCACCAAATTTATTTAGGTAACAGGATTTTGTTTGAAATCTTTTTGCTAAAAAGTTAAGTGGGGTTCTAAGGCCACAAGGAACTAAAACACTTGAGTGTATCACATATTGATAACATAATTTTGTTTGCAGACATTCTACATGGCAGATTTAACTGATTTTACATTGTGGTAAATGTTTCCTTTAAAAAATATCTTTGTAACTCACAGGGAAAATCATACAAATTCAGGGGCCCGTTCCCACCTGTGTGGAATCCAATTACCTACTTAGATCATAACAACCTTTGGCGGACAATGGATGACATGGGACAAGAGGTAAAGCTTTTTAAAGCTTTTGTGATTGCATTTGTATTTTTCATAATAAGTTTAGTCCGTAAAAGAAAGGAGATGCAACATATCATCAATGCCTAGCACATTGTGTAGCACATAGTAACTCTCAGTAAAGATTTGTGAAATGAATAAATGAACTTGTTTCTAACCTCTAAAGCAATGAGATACCCAACAGACTGCTATGATGTTTCTAACCTAGAAAATCCTCAGGTCATAGCAAAATAAGACTTTTGGGTCTTTGAGTCACCACCCTGCCCAACCAGCAACCCACCAGAAAATACACACAGAACTTGACCTGAAACTCTAGTTTAGATGTGATTTGGTATACCTGTCTAATCTTTGTTAAGAAGTTGAATTTATAAATGTTCTCCCTAAATAAGTAACCTTTACTGAGAGTTACTATTTAGTATTTGATATTTGGAAACAGACCAATTACAAAATAGCCTTCATTTTTTTAAATATGTTTTTATTGATTTCAGAGAGAGGAAGGGAAAGGGAGAGAGAGATAGAAACATTCGTGATGAAAGAGTCATTGATTCGCTGCTTCCTGTATGCCTCCCACCGGGGATCAAGCCTGCAACCTGGGCATGTGCCCTGATTGGGAATTGAACCGTGATTCCCTGGTTCATGGGTTGATGCTCAACCACTGAGCCATGCTGGCCAGGCAACATAGCCTTCATTTACTGTGCAGAAAGTTTTATCATAAATTAAATATGGGTTACGTGGTATAGATCAATAATAGAAAAGCTACACAGAAAACATTGGCTTTGTAGTAAAAGTCTCTACTGGAGGATTTGGAAAACATATTTTCCTTCTTTAAGTTAAAGTTTTTAATATTATTGAAATAGTTATTTAAAGTATAAAATTAAATTTCTCCTCCCCAAATCCTCATGTGAATGTAGATTCCCAATGATGCCCCATGGAAGGCACCCCTTGCAGAAGAGTGGGACCACATGACGATGAAGGAGCTGCTAGACAAGATCTGCTGGACTGAGTAAGACACCCCATTAGTCACAGGAATTTATTGTTACCGTCTTTCAGGTTTACTTAGCATACCATCGAACAAGAATGGGACAAGTAGCTACTTTATGTCTAAAACCATGCCATTTGGCCAAGTGGAATGCTGAAAAATATTGGAAACGAGTCCTGCCCTAAAGGTGTCAGAGTTTTGCATCATAAAGCTGGTATTGTCTCTTAAAATCCTCAGAACAGACCAGAATGTACCATCTCCTTTACTTAGAACAGCTTAAAGACCATTAGCCTAAAGATTTATCAAGTTGTTGATGTAGGAATACTTTTGTGATTCTCACTGGTGGTCAAGTGTAAGGATGGTGCATTAGCATATGTGTTTGAAACACCTTATGGGTGTAACTCTTCCAGGATTTGAAAAGGAACTTCTAGAGAATGTCTCTTGTTAATAAGCAACTGTAGAGGAAATAAGTGACTGGATCCACTGCTCTCATTAAATGAAAAGCATGTAATGTTTAAAGCAAGTATTCATGAGCCAAGAATTAAACTCTGGTTGGCAGAGCTGGGAACTATATATAAATTGTGAAGTCTATATAGATAGACAACATGAAGGGGACTCAGTGTACTTGAACAGCAAGGAACATGGAAAGGGTTGTAAGTCCATGGATATGGTGAATTAGTGATAAACAAAGTAAGAAAAATGGAAGCCAGGTTCAAGGAGACTGTCCTCCCATGCTAAACAACATGAGTTGGAAATGTGTTTGGCTGTGGGATTGATGTCTTCATTCTTTAGGCATTGGGCAGGGGAGCTTGAACACTGACAGACAAAAATAAAAATAAGTTTTTAGGAATATATGAATCTAAGATATGGAAATAATCAAAAGACATAAAATGTTTATATTACTTGATAATTCAATTTCTTGGAATTTAGCTTAAAGAAGGAGAGAGAAAAGAAGACAAGGAGAAAGGCATACAGGGAGGGAGGAAGGGAAAGAAAGGGAGATTCAAATCATTATTTTTAAAAGAGAAAATTTAAAAGTCTAATAATAAAAGATTGCTTAAATTAATTATGGACATCTAAAAAATGTAATAATCTACAGTTTTTTTAAATCATGTTGTAGAATAATATTTAATGGCTTGAAAAAAGTCATAATATTAAGCACATAGAAAATCAGGCTGTCATTGAGTATGTACAGTATAATATATGTTTTCATTTCTAAAAAGGAAACTGTATATGCACTGAAAAGCAATAGGCATCCATCAAAATGTTTTTAACACTTAATATTACAATACAAACATTTATCCACATCTTTAAAAATGCTTCATCAAATATCATATTTAATGGTTGCATAATATTCCATGGAAAGCGAATACTATAATCTATTTATCCATTATTACTCTGTTGGGAATTTTGGTTACTTCTAGTTTTTAATTACTGTTATTAATATATAATTATCTGTGAAAAATGAAAAACATCTTTGTGCTTCTCTTATGTCTTTAACTTTTGAAAGCAACCAATTATTGAATAGTAAAATCCTTTTATTGTCATGAAGTCAATGTCTATTATTAATTATATTCTTTTAAACACTTATCTAATGTTATTTACCATTTTTTGAGACTGTGACTTGTAATATAACTTATTTTGATTGTAATAAAATTACATAATTTATATTTAAATTCTATATATTAGATTTTCAAAATATGTTGAGTATTAAATTACCTGCATTCATTTTATAACTTATGTTATGAAAAGCTTTTAATAGCTCAGCCAGAGTGCCTCAGCTGTTGAACATTGACTTATGATCCAGATCGCAGTTCGATTCCTGGTCAGGGCAAATGCTGAGGCTGCCAGCTCGATCCCCAAAAAGGGGCATGAAGGAGGCAGCCAATTAATGACCCTCTGTCATCATTGATATTTCAGTCTCTCTCTCCCTCTCCCTTTCTCTCTCTCTGAAATCAATAAAAACATTTTTTTAAAAAAGAAAAGTTTTTAATAAATTCAGTGAAGTCTTTTCTCCCCAAAGAGCTTTAAAGATCCTTGAAGATTAGACTAATTATATTCCTTTGGGATCATAAAGATCTGACTTTTTCTATCATAGTCCTTGGCCTAGTCCTTTCATTAATAAAATTCTAGGTTTTTGTTTGGCTGAAAAAATAAAGCATTCTTAGATATTAGAAATATATGAACACAAGGTAATTTTCTAACTTACCCTAAGCAAGATATAAAAGAAGTATATTTTCTCATTTAAAAGCGCAGTCATATATTCAAACACTAATGTTAATTATTCTTAAAGTTATTATTTATAAAATTCTTTTCAGAAACACAAATTAAATTTGCAATGTGGTCAGCTATGTAAATAGCCTTTTTAAAACTTATAACTAGAAACAATGCATCAAAATGAGACTAGTGATTTTCTTTTTGGAAGCAGAAATATGGGAGATACTCATTCTTTTACTTTTTTATTTGATGAATTTTCCAAATTTTATATGTGTATATATTTTTCATGTAGATAATATACTACCATTTATCTTTTAAAAAGTCAACAGGACAAAGAATACAAAAATATTATTGCACTAGCTTCCTTGACCTTCTTTCCTTCAGATATTGTTCTCATATCTTTTCTCACTAAAGCTCCCAGAGTAAATCTAATGAAGGATTAAGAATGGCCTGGCCCTCCAGAGACAATTACTTTTAGATCTCCCTCCATTTCAAACCAGGATTATTTCCTTCTCACCAAATTGGCAGTAATAACAATTGCAATCGCAGCAATATTTTTATGTTTAATATTAGCTGTCTAGCTAGGTCAATATTGTTTTAGTTATTTATTACTCCCTTTACCTTATGCCACCTCAATTCACCTATAAAACAAGGAACAAAAGAAACAGGGCATCAGGAAACAGCAAAAGATGTTTTCACTTTGAAGTAATATTCTTAAACAATGTTTGGATATTTGCTTTAGATAGATTCCACAAATTGCCTCTGCAAAGAAACCATGAGTAAACAATTTCCATCCCTTCATCATGAGGAATCTTACAAAACTAACTCTAAGTCACTTCAACATATGTATTATGCTATTTGCTGACTTAATTATGGGGACTGCCATAAAAGTTCTGTCCGGTTGTTATGGCTGCAAACATTGTCAGTAACTGGTATATGTGTTAAGCATTATTCTACAAACTTCCAGAGTAAAGGTACACTAGACTAGAGAGATACCTCTTGGTGAGTCAACTTTTCAGTTGAATAATTATAAAGCATTCTGAAGTATTACAAACATGAGGTTTGAATCAGCTATGATGTGGTTTGAAGTTGTACCATTTAATGAGTCGTGTACTACATATTAATAACCTCCCTAAGACTTGTTTTGAGGTTGTGAACTGGGGAAAAATAGTAAAAAATTATAAAAAATAACTATTTTGTAGTTCTTATTACAATTCAATAAGACAATGGGTTTAAAAACCATGGAGGGTGAAACAGTTCAATAAATGGAAGACAGTATTATTTATTCCACCTATAGTCAGCAGCACTACCAGGTGGCAAATTCTGAGTCAGGCATAACCAGATTAGCAACACAAAAAGTTTATGTAAAAGTAAAAAGGAGGATTGGTCCTTATTAAGGATTCCAAAATACACATTACTGGTGAATTTTCAGGTGTATTAGATAAAACCAAGTCATTGGAATTGTATGAAATCATTCATTTCTGGTGTGCCTGCAGATAGGATATAACCTCTCGCCATTTACATCACAACTCCAAGCAAAAGCTCACCTACCTACGCACTGTTAATTGCTTTCCCCCCTCATCTATCCTTTGAGCTTGTCTTCCATTAGGCAGTAAAATGACTGAATAGATAACTATGCCTAATTTTGTGTTTGGTATACAGCACCTAGTATAGTCTTTGTGCATTATAGATAATTTAAAAATAAAGTTCAGTTGATATTTCTCATCAACCATTCATTCAGTCATCCAACCAGCAATTATTGAGAGCTTACTATGTTCCAGGCACTTTTATTATAGGGGGCACTATGGTGAGCAAGAAAGGTAAGATCCATATTATCATTGGTTGATATTCTAGAGGAGGAGATGGTAATAAAAATAAGAAAACAATAAGATAATTTAAGCCAATGAAAAGATTTCTAAAGATAACTATACTATAATAAAATGATAGAGGATGCCAGGGTGCTGGGAATGTGGAAGTCAATGCTCATTTTCATAGACACATAAGAGTTCATCTTTCTGGGGAGACATTAGAATAAGTAGAGAGGGTATAGGAAGAGATAGAGAAGGTAGGCATGGGCTGCATCACTTAGGACTTTGGAGGCCACGATACAAGATCTGAATCTTATTCTGGTTTTGATAAGATGCCACTGGAGTGGCATAAGCAAAGGAAAGATGTGACTTGATTTACACTTTAGAAAGAGCACCATAGAGGTGAAGGAGGTAAAAAGCTTCTGGCTTCAAGTGTAATGAATAGATCAGGCAGAGATAACTGCAATACTCTTGACAAGAAATGATTCTAAATTGGTTGTGAGGAAGGTGGTCTTATGTGGTGAAAGACAAAAGGAATTTTTGATGGATTGATGAGGGGAGAGTGATGGAAAGAGAGAAATTAAGATTGATTTCTAGAGTGTTGGCCTTAGCAATTGGGTGAATGGTGATGCCTTTTACTGAGATGGGATCACCATAAGAGTAGCGAGCATGTGGGAAGAAATCATGACAGCACAGAATATTGAATACAAGTTGATTCTGAGTGAGGTATTTTGGTTAAGGGGGAAATAAAGCTCATAGTCTCCAAATGTCTCATGTCATGTTTTATAATACAGAGACAATTTTCTGTGACTTGCTAAGTTGTGCCAAAATTAGCCAAGTAAATTTATTGCTTGAATAATTTCCAGGGAATTAAGATGATGCTCTTTTGCATTTTCTAATTTTTCTTTGTTTCCTCCTGAATAGATCTGCAAAGAAGCTTGCTACTCTCTTTGTGAACCTGTGTGTCACTGCGGAGACCCATGAGATCTCTGCTCTGTGGTTCCTGTGGTATGTGAAGCAGTGTGGGGGCACAACCAGGATCATCTCAACAACCAATGGAGGGCAGGTACTCATCCATACCCCCACAATTCCAACAGAAAACGACCACTGCCTAAATGAAAGATTGATATCATTCTTTAGTCATGAACAGATGAATCATGAGGCACACTTGCAGCTTTTAGACCTTTATCATGGTAGTTCAAGGTGGTTTTTGTGAAGGACAGTTTGTTTGTCAGGTACCCAATGTGAGAACTCAGCACCAATGTAATTTTAAGATTAGGCTTGTCTCTTTTATATACTTTTGCAATTTTCCATTTGTATATATATTCAATTATTATTTGATACACTTATAAAAGAACATTTGATGAACATAACTTGAGCACTTCTTGGGAAATTCAACAAGTAAAGTCAGAAATGCATTTCAACTTAAAACGTACACATGTGGAATTCATTCATTGCCTATTTCCTGAGCCTTGGCATTATATAAGGCACTGTGTTAGGCATAGCAGGAAGTGGATTAGAGTTCTTATATAATCTGCTTGGTAGTCATTTTTCTTTTCTCTCCTTCTTCTTTCTCAACTTCTTCCTCTTCATTCCCCTCTTTTTTCTTCCTTCCCTCTTTCTTTCTCTTCTCCTTCTCATCCTTCTTTCTTCCTTCTTTCAAAACATATTTGAAATAGTCCTTCTATTTAACTGAACTGAAAATTTAGGAGGAGATAGTCAGCTCAACTGTGTGCACAACCATGTAGGACATTTGGAAGCTTTAGCAGTGCTCAGGACAGATGGTGCCATGGCCACAGAAGCAGCAGACACCTGACCCAGAATGAGATGGGCAGCTTGAAACAAGGAGTAGGCTGGCCTGGGGATGAGTGGGCCAGGGACTTTCTGAGCCTGAGTAATAAGATGAGAAAAACAGGCTCATGCAAGGGATGCCCCAGCTGTAGGTATAGCTTCACCAGACCCAGCAAAACCATAAAAAGATACAGATACTACATAGAGCAGGGGTAGTGACCAGACAGGAGGGACATGGGGTCAGGGTGAGGTTGTTCAGCCGAAGTTGGAGCCTGGAAATCTGCAAAAGCATAACCTGGAAGGTGACTGTTGGAAAACCTGTAATTTTGTCAAAATCCAGCAATCACTAGTTAGACAATAATGGTGAAAGACATTTTTTACAACAGCAAAATGAAATTTTACATATCTTACAAAAAGATATGTGAGGAAAAACTATCAATTTAATAATTTATATCCATTCCTGTATTTCCTACCTACCTCTTTAATCCTCTTTTTTTTTTTCTTTCCAGGAGAGGAAATTTGTGGGTGGATCTAGTCAAGTGTGTGAACGGATAATGGACCTCCTTGGTGAGCAAGTGAAACTGGAGAGGCCCGTGACCCACATTGACCAGACAGGAGAAAATATCCTTGTGGAGACCCTAAATCATGAGGTGTATGAGGTAACCAAGAGCCTTAAACTAAGTGAAAGAGGTCAGAATCCCATAGATGACCAAACCTTCAATAAAGCCGAGAATATTCCAGACTTTATAGACAACCTTTTTGCCAAAAGTGAAAAAGCTAACTCTATCTGAAAGAAAGGAAAAGAAAAAAAGAATATTTTTGGAGGGATTTATAAAAACATATATTATCAACCCTTTGTATTGGGTTCCTACATAATTAGAAAAACAAAGAAAATATTTTTTTATAAATATCAAGTGCCTCCCAAGTGCCTGGCAATATTCTAGGAGTTGGGAACAGAATAATGAACAAAATAGATAAAATTCTTTACCTTCATGTGGCTTACATTCTAGTGAAGGAGAAAGGCCATAATCAAATATATAGTTAAAATACAGAGTATTCCAGACAGTGATAAGTACTGTGGAAAAATCAAGCAGGGAAGGAGAAGGAAGTCTGCCAGAAGGTGGGGGTGGGACAACTGGTCATGCAATTTTAAATAGGTCATCAAGGAAGGACTCATTCAGAAGGTGATGTTTGAGCAGGGAACCAAAAGAGATAAAGGACTGAGTTATGTAACTTTCTGAGGGAAGAGCATTCCAGGTAGACAGAACAGCCAAAAGTCTCAAGGTAAAAACAAACCTGGCATGATGAAGGAACTACAAGGTGGTCAAAATGGCAGAATTAAACATTGAGGAGACGAGTAACAGGAGGTGAGATCAGAGATGTAACGGGTCTATTTCATGTATAGCCTTGGAAGTGACTGTGAGGAACTTAGTTTTGTCTCTAAGTGTGATGGGAAGTCATTAGGAGCTTTGAACTAAGGAACAATAAGGGATCATTTTTGTTTTAACAAGATCTTTCCAGTTCTGTTAAGAAGAGACTGAAGTGGGGAGAAGAGTGAAATGAGGGAGAAACATTAGGAAAAAAGCACAACCCACCAATAGTGTTTTACCACTTTTTTCCTTTCCAGGCTAAGTATGTGATTAGTGCTATTCCTCCTACTCTGGGCATGAAGATTCATTTTAATCCCCCTCTACCAATGATGAGAAACCAGCTGATCACTCGTGTGCCTTTGGGTTCAGTCATCAAGTGTATTGTTTATTATAAAGAGCCCTTTTGGAGGAAAAAGGGTGAGTACTTTCCTTAAATAAAGACCTTGGGGAGAAGGTCAAAGAAACTTGGTGCAAAGATATACATTTGCATGTAAGTATTTTTATTAGAATGCTGGACATAAAACATTAGTCCAGGTTTGAAGTACAATTCTATCAGATAAAACATATTGGCTCAAACTCATGGAATTATCTTCCCTTAGAATATGACTAACTCTTTTTCTAATTCAGTATAAAATTTATTTAATCTTCCACAAAATCTTGTGAAAATAGGTTATTAACATTTTCTAATACAGTTTTTTAAAGAATGAGTTTAATGCACGGTGCCAGGTGGGTACTTGAAATATCAGGGGGATCACTTTATAATGTCTAACCACTATGCTGTACACCTGAAACTAATACAAAATAATAGTGAATGTAAACTGTAATTGAAAAATAACAAAAGTATGAGTTTATAGAGCTATTCACAAAAGTGGGGATTCTGAAAATTTCCAGGCAAGTTCTCATTTGTGTCAAGATTCTACTATATTAAATAAAATCAATTTATTCATTCACATATATTCAGCAAGTGTGCTATGACACTGGGTAGAACATTGCAGGGATGCTCACTAAAGTGCTAGATTCTGGAATGGCAGAAATGTTCTAGAGCTGCTCTGTTCAATATGACAGCCAGTAGCCATATTAACACTTGAAATGTAGCTACTGAAACTGAGGAACCACATTTTTCTATTTTATTTTATTATTTTATTTTATTTTATTATTTTATTTTATTATTTTATTTTATATTTTATTTTATTTTATTTTCATTACTTTAAGTTGAAATGTAAAAAGCCACATGTAACTAGTAGCTACTGAATTGGGTAACACAATGCTAGAGTCTTGTTATATTTACTCTTATCACATCTACTTTTCTTTCAAGAGGGGGCCATGTATGAACAGTTAGTACCTGGAACTGAGGGCAAAGAGAAAGATGGACTGAAATGAGGAACCAGACCAGAGGAACTGCAGAAAAGGGAGAGATTATACTAGAGGCAAAGGGGGAAAGTTTCACAGTTTTACCTTAGGGCTGTTCTTCCTGTACATATCCTTTTCTAGCAACATTGTAGTCTCCTAATTCTCCACCTTTGCAGGAAATCCTAGTTAAGGCTACTATTGAATTAGGGCATCAGTTAAAAAAATAATCTACCTTTTGCAAAGGACAGTGTGTAGTGACCCACCGTGAAGAGCTGGCTGATAAGTTGCTTCCTCTTGTGATCCACGTCACTCATTTTAGGTACCTGGCTGGTGGCAAGTATATAGAGTTTAAGATCATGGAATAGAGATTTTTGTCTTAATGACTTGAATACCTTTATTTGTGGAGAGAATCTATAACTTACAATTTATGTCTGTAAACCTCTATCTTAGGCCTGCTATGTGCTAGGCAAGTTTATAGTTAGGTACTAGTATCAAAAAGAAAACCCAAGCTCTCCACCCTTAAGAGGCCTGATGTGATTCAGTACTTTTTAGTAATGAGCCTTTAGTTACACTTAAAAAATGACTGTAGACATGAAAGCCCCATCAAAGTATTTTCAATTTCTTTGAGTTACTATATTAATGTATTTCTTCAACCGACCACTATTGAGCACTTATTGTATGACAGGTGCCATGCTAGGCATTGGGAATTCAAAGGTATTTGCCCAGAAAATCCAGACTCCAGAGGAAGACAGTCATGTAAACCGATAATTGTGTGACAATGTATTGAGTTCAGTGTTGACATTACCTGGGCTATTCTAGAAACACAGGGGAGAGCTCCAAAACTCACATCTAGTATGATTCTTGTTACATGGATAAATTATTCGATAACATCTTGAAGGATTCTATAAGGGAATAAAATCTGATAAAGTTGACTATTATAACAGGGTCTTGCTTTGTGTCAGATTGTCAATGCCATTGCTGAAGACACTGTGATTAATGAGTAACACAAAAGCTGAGGAAATATTGAGCTAACCAGATAAAAAGGGTGAATTTTGCAGCCCAAACAGCCTAGCACAATGCCTAGCACATATTGGGTCCTCAGCAGCCAATCACCCAAAATTTTTGTTTGGTTGTTTGCTTTTTTGGTTTGTTTTCTAAGTGCATTATGGTTTGATTATTAAAGAGAAGGTAACTTTTTGCATTTTGATACAGACAGCCCTAGCCATTTCTTGATTGCTTGTACATTGATTATCCCAGAAAATGCTTCCCTGTCTCTTGTGTAACATCTGAGTGAATTTACGGGGGGGTTGGGGGCTTTTCTTTGCTGGACTTCCACCAAGTCATTCTAAATCCAGCTACCCCATCCTCCTGGAGTTTCTGTGGGGAGCCATTGCAGCCACTTCCAGTGCCCTTACTCCCATCCCCACTCACCTGGAAAGAGCAGGCTGTCACCAACGCCTTGAATCCTTTCAGTAGCCCTTGCTTTTGCTCATCTGTACAACTTACACTTTCTCTTAAATTTAATTTATATCAATTTCTGTTTAAAATGACAGAAGCAATACTTACTTTTTTAAAGTTATAGAAATGAACTTGTTCACTATAAAATTTTCAAAAAATAAGAGTGTATGAAAAATGTTCCTTTCTTATTACCCTTTCCTGTAAGGAACACTGTTAAAAATTTAGGTTGTTTACCCTCAGAGATTTATTGTATGCATAGGTAATACTTTAAATATATGAGTACACATATATTGACATATATACTTTAAATATATATGAAAAATATGCATAACATTTAAATGCAAATATAATTTTAAATAAATATATATTTTATAGTTTCTCAAAGGCACTATTTTTTAAAAACGTGACAATACTGAAATTTGCTTTTTCCTGTTAACAGTATGTCATAGACATTTCTCCACATAAGTGCATTTAAATCTACCTAATTTCAGCAAGTGAACAAAACAGTATTTCACTGTACCCAGTAGGTCTGCTATCGATAAGCATTTTGATTATTTTCAAGGTTCTGCTATTACACACTACCCTGCAAAAAACCCCAGCTTCCTTCATATAGCTCTGCAGATTTGTATAGAAACATTTTTTTTGGATAAATTTGTAAAAGTGGAGTTATGAATTCAATTAACTTGAGTAGACCCAGCTAATAATATTTAAAACATTTTGCCAATCAGTAGGAGAAAACATCCCATTTATCTGTAATTTTTATCATTAATAAGGCTTAAGGGCTATATTAAATTGTTTTTTAAATTACCTATTTATCCTTTGCTCATTAATTTTTTTCTATATATGTTGCAAATATTTTCTCCTGGTGTATCAGTTTTTAAAAAATTGTTCATAATGGTATCACCATACTAAATTCTTATATATACGTAGGGCTTTTCTGGACTAACAATTCTATTCCACTGATCTTTGTAGCTGGGCTCCAAATATTTTGTATAGTTCTATACATAAAACAATTTTAAACACCAATTACCACCAAATATACTTATTCCTAAATTATACATATGGACCTCTGAAAAAATGTATTTTATAATTATAAAATATACAAAAGTAAATTTGTTTGAAAAGCTGAAATTAAAAAATAAGAACTTTTATATCTTCCTCTACAATGTAGATGTGCAATCTAGGTGTGCACACCCCACTTTGTATAAAAAAACTCACAGATTTATTAACCAGTCCTATGACAGTACTGTATTCTTTTAATCACTGTGGCTTTATAATATGTTTCGTATCTGGATAATACACGTTCTCTTCATTATTTTTCCTGTAATTTTGTCCTTGGTAAACTTCAGTTGTTCTTGGAGATGAATGTGATCATTTGCTCAGAACATCTACACCCCCTCACTGAAAAAGCTTCTATTGAATTATTTTATTCTGAATATTCCTCTTTATCACCTCCCATAGCTACAATGTCTTCTCTTTTCCCCCTGAGGATGTTACTTGCCACTTTGGGGGAAATTCCTTCTACTCCTTGTCTTTTTTCCCTAAGAATTCCTTCTTGTTTGTTTGATGTTAGTTTGTTACTGCTTTTGTCATTGTTATTCTTGGTAAAGAACTTTGTTAAATGGCTGGATGTTCTTGAATGCCCTTTCCTTTATTAGAGAGAGGCTAGACCAAACTAACTGGAAGTTCTGTGTACATGGGCTGGACTCTTGAGTTTTCTGCCTACACTATTGCTGCATGGTTTGTCTTGGCATAAGCATGACTCTTCTCACTGTCCCTTGTTCCTTCACTTTCACCCAGTGCACCTGCATGGCTCAGAGGTCAGCTTTGTGCTGAGAAGGAAGTTTCAAAGTGTCCCTCTACCTGGAAAGCAGGACCTCTACACTAGACAGCCAGGCTTCCACTATGTCTCCATTCATTCCAGCTGACTCCCTCCCAAGATCAGTGTGCACTTAATTTGCAAGTAAATGGTAGACCAGTGTGCACTTGTTCTTTTCTCTTATCACATCCTATCCTGTTTATCTCTCTCTTTCTGTCTTCTTATAACAGGTGATTACTTAGCTATTTCTCTTGTATTCTTAAATCTTTTTGAACTCTTAGATGGACTTTAAACATTTCTCCTTACTTTTAAGTTTTTCTCAATGTTTTTACTGCCTCAGCACACCTGAAAGGCATGCAAACACCCCCCAAACCAGTGGCTGAGTGGGTCATTCATTCTCAGGAATGTGCTGTGGAAATGGATGTGAGAGGAGAGAGAGAGAAGCAAGTACAGGTTAAAAGGCCTACAGGTGTGTCTGCTCATATGCAGGTCAAGATGGTGTATACACTCAAAGTTCTTTTTCTGTTCTTTCTTCCTCATTTTGAAACCCTCTTATTGGATTTTGTACACACCATTTGTTCCAGAGTCTTCAACTATAATTTTGTTAAAAGAAACTCAATTTTCAAATAAATGATAGACCAGGAGGAAGGGTGCACTATAGTAGGATATTATTATAACATTTCAGATTCTGCCCTGACCATTTTCACCATTGCTTTGTCACAGTCTTTTGTTGAAATTGCATATATTTTGTTCAGGAGGTGAATGAGACAAGCCCTTTGTCTAGAATGAGCTGAAATTGTTTCTCAAGTAGTTCTGGAGGTTATGTTTGAAATGAGGGTTTGGAACTTTGTGTATTTTAATTATCCATGGGCTTTCTGCCCTGCCTTCAGATAATCAAGAACTAGTTAATATAGAGTAAGTGATTCCTCATAGAATGTGAATGTTCAGTTTCTTCTATTTTATAGTAATGGACTAGTATTTCTTGTACACATATTTGATTTTATCTGATTTCCTATGAAAGAGAAAATAGAGGACATGAGTATTAATGGTAAGAAAAACAAGATTTCATTATATGGTGGCCTGGATTAATTCATAATATCACATTGCTTTATTCTTTTCAGACAGGGGTTTACAGTTTGATTTTTTACAAAATGTTGGCTACTTAACCTTCTTTTTGACATCAGTTTGATTTTTCTTCATGTATACAGAGTATAATGTCTTCTATTCAGCCTTCGGGCTTCTCAAGTAAAAAAATATGTGCTCATTGCAACTGCTATGGGTAGCTTGATAGCGTGATCAATATCTTCTTCCATTTTGCTGTTCTCCCAAGATTACTGTGGAACCATGATTATTGAAGGAGAGGAAGCTCCCGTTGCCTACACGTTGGATGATACCAAACCTGATGGCAACTATGCCGCCATAATGGGGTAAGGCACAGTTATGGTGGTGTGAATGCTATTGGATGTTGACAATGTATTCCCATACTATTAATAATGTGGCCCAAACTTTTAAAAATAATTGTTTACCCAATGGCACTGTTCTCCCAATTCAGCAGTAGAAACATTATTTTTAAAAAATAATGTCTTCCAATGAATAAATATTTAGAAAGAAATTAGAATACCAATAACATTTTAAAATTTGCTATATTAATTTTTTGTTTCATATTTAGTGTTGGGGGTTGATATATTTTGGTAAGCTATCATTTGTGAAAACATGATATGAAGACCTGACTTGGGGTGTTTTACTAAGAGGGATTCTTGTGGAGGTTTATGTGAACATCAATGATATTTATGTGGGATGCTGAGATTTTCCAAGTCCCACTAGAGAGGAACCAAGACCACCCCAGTCCTCAGCTTGGCAGGTTCGACTAGCACAGATGGGGAATATCTTGGGAGACAGAACCTGGCCCAGAGAGGTGTCACTTGGAGCAGTTAAAATTAATATGAGCCTTAGAATGTGTATGAGTTTATTTCAGAGAAACTCAAGGGTCAGAGGAAGGAGATCAAAGCCAGTTGTGAAGTTGAAAGCAATCATAGGGCCACACATGGAAGCAGATTCTAGAAAGCTGGGCACTAGGAAGGCAGCATTGGGTAGATAGAACCAAAGGGCACGGGCTGGATGAAATTGGAAAGACTTAGACATGCTTTAGTTGGACATTTGAGACTCAAGGCTCATTCCTGTTAGCCACCAGCCATGTAAGGGGAAGTGGGTCATTCATAGTATTACCCTAGGCAGAAATTATGGCTAGTCATCTATCTTTAGTCCCTTGAATCCCTAAAGGTGGAAGGTGCATTTCTGTGTCAGGAATGTATTTGTAAATAGTAAAACATTGAACGTTAAATAACTACAGTTTAATTTGTTTCTTTGGGTTTACTTTTAACTTGTACACTAGGCACATATGTAGCTATAGAAATGAGGCCAAGATGAATTTCCTCCCTTTTTTTCTTGTTTGTATGTTTTAGATTTATTCTTGCCAACAAAGCCAGAAAACTGGCACGTCTTACCAAAGAAGAAAGGTAAGAAAAAAAGTGCCTCTTCTTTCTTTCTTTCTTCCCTCCTTCCCGCCTTCCTTCCTTCCTTCCTTCCTTCCTTCCTTCCTTCCTTCCTTCCTTCCTTCCTTCCTTCCTTCCTTCCTTCCTTCTTCTTTCCTTCTTTTCTCTCTCTCTCTCTCTTTTTACCATTTAAAATATACAAACCATTCATAGCTCACAGGTCATAAAATCCAGTAGGTGGCAGGATTTGGCCCACTAACCATCATTTGCTGACCCCATATCTAGACCAATCCTCTGCCTTTTTTTAAAGTAAACTTTTTATCGAAGTATATGAAAATATACACAATTTTAA